TACGTGGCATTAAGGTGTTTAATCTCTCATTCACATGGCATTAAGGTGTTTCAGCTCTCGTTCACATGGCATTAATGTGTTTCAGCTCTCATTCACATGGCATTAATGTGTTTCAGCTCTCATTTACATGGCATTAAGGTGTTTCTGCTCTCATTCACATGGCATTAAGGTGTTTCAGCTCTCATTCACATGGTAGTGATGGATTGCAGCTCTCATTCACATGGCATTGAGAGTATCCCAGCTCTCATTCACATGACATTGAGGGGGTCCAAGCTCTCATTCACATGCATTGAGGGGGTCCAAGCTCTCATTCACATGTCATTAAGGTGTTTCAGCTCTCATTCACATGGCATTAAAGTGTTTCAGCTCTCATCCATTCTGAAAAGTGAGGGGACATTGTTGTGTCCGCGTAAGCGGCCAGTGTCCGCGCCTGTGCGAACAGGGGGGGGGGTGTCTGAGAAAGGGGGACTGCCCTATGTTCCGACACCACTATGTTCCGACACACATTATACTTGTGTCAAACTTAATCTGACTAGCCGTGCGTGACATTTTACTACCTTAATATAGCCAGGATGTCCTGTGGGTTAATACTGGAAATCCAGCTGTAGTGTAGTCCGGCCATAATGCTCGAAAGTCCGTGAAGGTGGGATCTTGCATTATGTTATTGGATAATTATCAGAGAATTATCAAACAATGTTGCCCATTGTATCATTCTACTACTTCGACAATTATTTGACAATATCCGTGTCTGTTGGATGTGGTTCCAACCTTAAATCCTCCGATTGCCTAACTATCGAAGTTTTAGATCGATAATTATCGGAGAAATATTTTACCTTTTTTATGAAAGTTGTACTTCTATATTCATCAGTCTCTGAATTGCAAGGTTGCCGTTTACATCCGGTAGCACATTTCCAAGTTTATCTACATATTAATTAAAATAATTTATTTATTTATTTATTATGCGAGAGATGAATAGGCACTGCATTTAGCATTCCGTAGTGTTTGCATACGTTTTTGAGATTGCCAAAATACAAAGGTTTCACACTATCTCTTTCCATTCCTATATTGTGTGTTTTTGACCAACATTCCTTGTTTACCTTCACACGTTATACGTTTTCCTATCAATCTAAGACATTGATAGATCTCAGAGAATTCCATGTTTAAAACAATTAAACCACCACCCAGCTGTAGACCCTGTCTAATATCAATCTAAAACATCGAGAATTATCCGATAATTCAAATGTAATTCTAATGCGCGGATATTGCACAAGTTTATACTACCTGCAAATTTGATGCATAATTCATCGTTCAAGGTTAAGGTCCATATTAGACAGATTTCCTTAAGAAAGTCAGAAAGCACTATTCTATTCTATTCTTCGTTGTTCCATTGCATTGTTCTGATATTCCCCTTTATTCTGAAAATATTCCCATATGTTACACTCATAAATTACAGTTGGTATAATACACAATTTAAATACTTATCCGTATATCTGCCAAACATGTATATCCCGTATTTATACTTAATAGCGTAATAGCGTTCTCTTAAATAAATAAATAAATAAATAAATAAATAAATAAATAAATAAAATATTTAGAAAACATAAAAAGACTTATTTTCAAATACATGAATATGTCATGACTAATTCATTTTATCATAGACAGGATTTGCCCAGATAATGCCATTTGATGATTTCGAATAACGTATAATAAAGTTAATGAATTCATAGTATCAATAAGTAATGGATTATACGATGTAATATCCAATGTAATACTTGTACGCTACACCAATAAAGCTTTAATTTGATATATATCATGATGGTGTTTGTCTGAGGTAGTCCTATTTAATATGTGACAGGCTATTACGTAATTATATATTTGTATAAGGTTGATCCCATAAAATTCCCTTTTTATTTAACGCTGTGTATACTTTTTTAAAGCTAACATATTTACCCTGATTTTCGGGGGCAAAACGGCTCAGATTCTACAGCCAAAATTGACCAAATTAATTCCCATGTTTCTGTCTACTTTATTGCATGTAAATTTGACAGCCTTGTCTTAATTTTAATTGTACAGTCATTATTCTGTAACTAGACTGATCGCGCTGAACAGAGAAAAAACATGTTGCTTTGTTCTACCAAGGGGAGCGGTATTTATCCAATTTTGGCTTCCGACCACTAGCGTACATATTTCCATGCAAAATATGGCACATTCTGGCCGGCTCAGAATGTATTGGATGATCGTCGAACATAAAATTACTAAACAAGTTGTCAGGGGCCCACATGAAGACTGTCAGGTACATAGTTTATTGTCGATCTGAACGTTTGGCAATAATTAAAAAAAATATGTTGCGTCTGAAGCTTGATAGGATACATCGCGTCTGAGAATATTGCCGACGATGATCACAAAAACACCTCCATGAAAGCCCTTGACCAGAAAAGTGGCAAGTATTATAATCCGGCATAGTTATTTTTTAATGTAAAGAAATGTAACATTGTGTTACAAAAGGTGAGCGTAGAATAATATTTGAAGAAGAATAATGATATTTTTTCTTATAGTCAAGAGATAAAAACGCAGTCATATGTCAAAACCGTTTCTGAAATTTCGTAGGTGTCAGAACATCTCAACATAGGGTTCATTCTCATGGCATTGAGGGGGTCCCAGCTCTCATTTGTATGGCATTCGGGGGGTAGCAGCTTAAATTCACATGGCATTGAGGGGATCCCAGTTCTCATACACATTCAGCGTGTGTCAGCTCTTTTTCGCGTGACAGTGAGCTGGTCCCGGCTCTCATCCACATGACATTGAGAAGGTCCCGGATCTCATTCACATGGCATTGGGCGGGTGCCAGCTCTCATTCACATGGCATGCAGAAGGTCTCAGCTCTCATTCACATGGCATTGGGGCGCCAGCTCTCATTCATAAAATTCACTGCCTGTCACTATATCAGTGTGTGTTTACTCATCATAATTATTGGCACTGTTATGTACATGGTGCCACTGGCTTTGATTTACGCTATCAACACCAAACTGTATTCTATATCAAATTGCACCTACTACAACATGATTACAATAGCATTTTACTTGTCAACTGTTGTAATCATGAAATCAAATGAAGTCTGTTAATTTTTATACATATATGTTTATTCATATAGTTTTATTGCATTAAATGTTATTATTCGGTAATTCCCATGTGTCAGTGTTTATGGCATCACTTAATTCACTGATTATGCAAATGTTTGGAATCATATAAATACATTCTTAGTTGCTGTACGCCTAGTACAGGGGGTGTAAAATTGTTAGTGTTCTCAATAGAACATTAGAAGGTAATAAACCTGTAGCTGATTGTGACATTTCCCTCAAACTAATGGAAAAACGTACTCAATGCGCGAATGTTGTGAAATCCGAATTGAGTGCATAACCCAATTTAATTCATGTGTCAACACAATATGGTTTGTATAGCTTTTCTAGATTGAAATTCACAATGTAGAATCTTCGTCGATACGAACAACACGCAATTGAATTGCACATTTCTAAAGCGCCTCGGCAAACGCACAGTTTGTGATCAACATTCATGTGAACAAACAAATGCGTTTCGATACGACGCAACGAACGTGGCGCTTTAATAAGTCACCATCTGATCATTTGACAACGATTTGGGTGGGCGCAAAGTATTACTAGTAATTAGTGCTTTTGAACTATATAGGTTTGATTGCAGTAGTATCAGTTTATGCTAACCTCGAGATGTATTATTGTTCTATGTAACTGTAAACGTGCATTGATATGGTATGACTTAGACGAAGATATCCGACTAAATCACAACTAACTATAACTTAAATTATCATTCAAGTCTCTTCAATTAGCTTTCGCTAACAGCTGAAAATATTGTTTAATATGATGTAGTATCTGCTCAAACGAAACTTTAATGTATAAATTGCTTAAATGGCCATCGGCAAATCTGTTATTAAGTCACCCGACATGATTACAATTCAAACACATACGTCAAATGCAGTGAATAATGTCTCAACAAGGTTAATTGCATATAGCGTCTTTGTCAGCTTCTACTGTGATTGCTAGAATCAAAACTTAATCAACATTTATCTGTTTTTCATAGGATTCACCATAGCAAATAGCATCAGTTTATAAAGCGTGGTCAATTTAGAGTTATTCATATCTCATTTAAAGAGGTTTAACGAATACTGCAAAAAGCCGTGGATTTATTGCCTTCGGGGACCACCTTCATCAAGTGTACAGAAACATCCAATCTGATGTTATCTTTTTAAGCATAAAAATCAGATTAGAGACGACGAAAAACATGTCGTCGTTTTCATTCTGTGACAAGATTTGAATTTATATGTTTTAACTACCACTTGTAGATACATAACACTGAGCGATAAATATAAGGAAATCTTACTTACCCGAAGACCAGCATTTGCACGTTTTCCGGGTTTCCATCGGTATCTGTCTTTCAGAGAAAAGTGTGGCTGTGCCTGACCGTGACTTAACAGTTGTAACAAGACAAACAGTGCCAATATTAGACATGTTGTCTTTGCCGTGCTTCTGTTCATTGTCGTTGTGTTGGTGATGTATATATCAGCCTGTAATATAATTACAATATCTTTGTCAACTTAACACTGCACATCACTATTGAGTCGATTATGAATGACGGGTCTACTGACAGTGCTACCCAGATTATTTTGCTGTAGTAATTTAAATTTCTTCAATTTTTTTTTTAATCTAGTGACTAGTGTGGCAATTACGCTAAACAGCGAATGTGAACATTAGCGTTGTACATCTCCTATTCCTCTCACAGACGTCTCATTTGCCGACCCCTGTGTGCAAATTCGACCATTTGAGCTTAACATCTTCCTGGCCAATATGTACTTAAGGTAAAATAAAGTATTAGTGTAAAGTGATGATAATTGGCATCAGGTATACCGATTGATGTACCTGTGCATGCACCGTGTATGAACTCACCAAGTGGCGGAATAAATGGCATTTGCTTTGTCCGTACCACCCTCAGTACACAACGCCACCGCCTGTTTTACGACCAAGCCAACCTTTACGTCGCTAACTCGTTAAGAGATTTCAAGTCTTCGCTTTTGAAGGGATTCAGTGATAATACCGGATTCGGAAAGGCTATCAACTTGTAATTGCCCCGTCTTTACAATCTCGTTTATAAACGCGGATTGCGTTTTAGAATGCAATATTTATCCCTGTGATTATGGACAAAACCGGGAGGCAATACGCAGTAACATGCTGTTTGTACATCGGTTCAGTTGGAGATTAATATTATAGTATTTACCGAGGTAGTGATAATTAGCATTGGTAACTTAACTACGGGTATTTTTTAAAACCAGCTCCGAAAACTAATAAAGAAAAAAAAAACAAAAACAAGAAACTTATTCAATAATTAGACTACCATGTTACATACGTACAAACTTACCCGCGATACTCTGTTAACAGTTGCATATACAATTGTTGCGTGTCATATATTAACAAGACATGTCTCCCAAAATCACCCTGTGGCAGGTTTGATGTCTCCCAATATGCAATGAATTTATACATGATATATATATATATTGGAATGTAAGTTAAAATCTGACATGTATAAGCCATTCGTTACCGTGAAATGCGCGTCACATGTGCACGAAAGGGATTGTCTGTAGGGCGGATATCACTTTAATTGTAACTGACTATTTCAATCATTTTCACCTGAACTTTCAAGGAAGAAATTACAAAATTCATCGAATTGCCTCCGTCAAATGGGTCCACACAATAAGGAAGCAATTGATCACAGACTACTGAATCGAAATGACTGCCTAAGACGACTCTTAAAATCATCGTTTATGGCACGATAGTTATCGAATAGCAGCCAGTGATCATGTGACATATTTATCAAACAGTACCGTGAAACTTTATAGAAAATGTTGTGGGGTTACGGAGAGATCGCAGGAAAGTTTAAGGTGGGTCACGTGACAATGTGATTAGAAACATTGGATGACAAGTTTCTTCTTATCTTATATTATATGCGTTCCTCAGTGACACGCACGGTCACCGTTTTGTGAATAAAATTAAATGAACCAAACAGGTGATTTTTTCATGATTTTGCCTTGTTCTAAATCAAACATTCACCATCTATTCAGTGGTGTTATATCTGAGAAACTATGACTAGTGATTTCTGCTCGACTGCTGCGAACGAGACAGTTGGCGTACTAGTCGCCTATTCAGTCTTTCTTTGCTGACGTATGTCGTGAAAAGGGTTCTCGGACCCGCAGAATCACTTGATCATTGATCGCAGTACAAGACAAGAACATGTGGTACATGTGTTATATGATGACCTACCTACACTTCTTCTCCGATGCTAAATCTAGTTTGTTCCAACAACTAATGAGGATTTGTATCACTTTCATTCTGTTCTCGATTTCAAGATAAATGACAGACTATTAATGGATGCTCACCACGGTTTAAATTTATTAACTTGAGTAATATTTATAAAGTTAATAACAGGTACGGGTCAGACGTATATATATTGATAAAATATTACATAATCACGCGAGTAGAATGCGTTCATCTCTTAATAATTGTTCTATGTAGTGTGTGGTGAGAGTATTTGTTTTAAAGACTATAGTTCATGTGGGCAAATAAAAATGAGCAAGTCAACTGTTTATACATGTTTTTATATTATATACATTGAAATTAACGACAAGCAAATGGTTTATTATTTATACGCACGAATTTGCTCTTTTGAAATTAGAAAACATGGCGCATACTACTTAATATTTGTGAGCACGAACCCAGTCTTTTAAGTTTAGCACGCTGAAACCTTTCGACTATACCTGAACCTGCTTCAAAAATATACGGATATATGCACACTATTAAGTATCAGCATATGTTCTTTTTGCGGCCCCCAGGTTTCATATCTGGTAATGGTATAGATATAAACTATAATAATGGATAATTCAAGAAATCGTACAGCAAACAAATATTAACGTTGGGAGATGTGAGCATTGCGTGGCTAGTGTTGCATCTACTACTATATGCGTCATGATATATCAACATATCTGATTCGTGATTATACCACGACTACTTAGACACAATTAAACGGACAGAGAGGTGGTTGTGGACACTGGTAGTTCGTCATTATCGGCGATAATTTATTGAAGTTGTGTGTTATTCGTTGTATACGTAGTTCCTACAAAGTGGACACTGTGTATGGCTACACTAACTGTGTTTCTCGAAGTAAGTATTCTATAGTGAAGGGAATTCAGTTTTAGAGCCCTATACATGGCGGACGCTGCTAGATTTACCAACCATGCCATTGCTCGTTACTCAGATACGTTTAAATTGTTGTGGCGATGCGTTATTAAGTGTGTAAAATGGATGGTAATAGACGTATTATTGCTATTGTGTTTCAGAGATGCATGTTTGGGTGTGTTTCTTTCACAAATGTTGTGGCGACATAAAAATGCCAATTATTTTAGGTCAGTAAATTCTTGTTCTATGATAAAAATACTTGATCCTGGCCTTTAAAAATAATAGATTTATTGCATCGTTTATTGGTTGATCATTTTTTTTATCCCTATATCACATTGCCAACACAATACGCACACATTATCGTATGAGGTGGAATTTCTATTAATTATATATGACGTTGTAGCTAGGATAATTATTGGCGTCGTCATGGTGTCTGCAAGTGAACATTGAACATTGAGTAGGCACATTGACGTTAATTAACAAATATTTCAACCGGGGGAATGACATCACTGAAGACGTATATATGCGCTACATGACATCCTTGAATTCTGTAAGCGTGGTGTGATGAGCAAATTAAGACATCACATTTAATTGATTATAAAAAAATGTAAACACAATCTATCGTAGTTATCATTTCGAATACGCTTTTTAGGGATCAAAAAGGGATGCAACACTTTGGGGGTAATTTAGGAAAAGACATTATGTCTGAATAACAGAATGGTCAGCAATTAGCAGTAGAACATTGTTAGGCTTTCCTTGTATGTGTCCTTATATGGAATTACCCTTATAGATATTATAGTCATGTAACGAATATAAGTTCTCAAATACACGAGTTCAGTATAGCTATGATGACGATACTCGATGTGACTAAACGCGATGAGTACACTTAATTCGTCCCCTTACACTTGATAGTTTATATGACATTTGGCTATGCCCTTTTAATACGGAGCCAGACATCATTTAAGAAGCGAGATATTCTTCAATTCCCTCACATGTGCTAAGCATCATTGACTTCAATGACGCTTCAGAATGCATTCATATTCGACAAGTTAGTGAATGCATTAAGCGCGATTTGCATGTCGACAGTATGAATTATTGCTATAAGAAGCGCTGCTCAGTTTGTAAACCCTGCTTGCGGCAGCATTAACATTCATAGTGTCGCTGTATTTGATGTAGGTACATCCAAAATGATGTCCTGTAGAGAGAAGTTCATATATTTTGATTTTTATGACCGGAAAATGAATCCAATAGCTTTGCCCTGTAATGAGAATATCACGTTTTGACACGTATGCCGGACCCACACTAATGAAAAGACGCATTTTGCATTGATAACAATATGGTTTAATACACATAAACAATGGCTACATATATACCCAGCCGAGATTTTATGAATGACGATTATAATTAACCTTCACAAAATTAGCAATTTCACGAATACTTGTATTGTACGCTTATTTCCATTCGATATTATTAACAGGTCGTGGTGTTATTGTTCTCAGCATCACTGATCACTGATCACTCAATTACTAATACTAACAAGACTATCTAGAATTGTGTGTGGATTTTGTCTTCTATAAATGTCCTGTGTTGTTCAACGGTTACAATGCCTATCCGTTGCTTTAAAGAATATACATAAACTTAAAATAATGTAATTACATGACATATGTGTATTTATTATGTTAATACACCTCTTTGGTTTTCATACAGAAAATTAGAACAGCCTATTATGACCTTGTACATAACTCGCTATCATGTCGTAAACGTTCTTCGTAATTATTAGTATGACATTCTTTTAGCTGTTACTCTTCGGGAGTACAGTTATACCATCGAGATGATAAAACCATATATGAAAGACATACGCTCATAACCAAAAAGGTTAATTGCTTGCCGGGAAATGGAGCATTTAAAATAACCCAAGTTGTTTCTTCCTCAACACACGGTAGAACACAATATTGTTAACCGATCCGGATAAAATAAATATGTTAGCTATAAATAACGCATCATATAACATAGCAGCATTTTAATGACAACTTACTTTGTATTTAACATGGCTTTAAATGGAGGGCAATATTTAAAATGCTGGTCCCAGAATGTTACGTGTCGTATCTAAGTATATGAGTCTATAATCGAATCGCAGTGATAACACTGAACACAATATAGATAACATCGTCGTTTACAGCATTTACTAATGTAGTAAAGCAAAGTAATTTAAAAGAAGACAAGATCACAGAGAGCATTCGATATATTCGTTATCCAGAGCGGAAGTATGTTTTATCTTCTGATGCAGGCTATTAGAAACACCACTTTGCGTATTTGCAGACTCTATTAGAAAACTCGGTAATGACCCTTTGAGCCTACCTTTAAATCCTTTTTATGTCCATACTAATCCTACGCATCGTGAATGTACTAATAAAACTACGCGACGTGTGAAAACGTCTTTCATAGTTTTATTTCTTTTAATGCACGTACAGAAGTCCATACGAGTTGAAATGGAGATGAAATTAATATTTCCTTTTAATTTCAAATAAAGTAATTACATATGTTACACGGCAATGTATAGGTGAGCACTGAGGCAATACATGTTCTCTTAGACAATACACCACCAATTTGTATCATAGGAATTGAACTAAGCTTCCTCAAAAATGAATTGAGTATACCGCTTTAATGTTGATGGTAATACTGATCACCAATGTTCAATACGTGTAACTGTTAGCTGTATACAAACTACAGCAGCAAGTACTAGCTATTAACGATTTAGAGATAATAACCATTTTTTTTTAGCACTGTTGTATTTGATTGAAATAATTAAAATATATACTGTAAATGTATCATTGCTTGCGAATTGCATCACACGGCTAGAAATACTAATGTTATCTTAATAAAAGCCACAGCATATTAAAATTATGCGCAATGCTCTTTGTCCGTTTACATTTACTATGCACAGTGCACGTTGCGATTTAAAACAATAGATAAATTGAAAAAGTGTTTATCTCTTTTAACGTTTGACGAAATTGTTAGGAAGAAGTGTTTTAATTTTCTTTCACAATAATAATAATAATAATAATAATAATAATAATATGTATCTTGGATTTGCGGAGCAGTACATGTAAAGGAGTAATATGATGTGTTGAATTAAAATAAAGACAAAAACAAAACAAAACAAAAAAATAAACTATTTTATATCTATGTAGATTATCGGTATATTTCCACGACCTGTAGACCTGTGTTGTGAAAATTCGTTGCCGTGTGTTCACTATTGCAATTAACCTCGTAACTTACACAGAGCGATAGTTAAAATCATTCTCGTTTTCACACATGCAGGGACAATAATCTTATATAATTTATTTTAGCAGCAGCTAGGCAAATGTCTATTTATACATATAAAATTAATTCACAAATAATAAACTGAACGAAGAGCGTGTTTATTTTAGCCAGTTTTACCCAAAAAATTTTAATTTGCTAATACTCAATATTAGACAGAACAGAACGTAATGTATATGCATAATAACATATAATGCATCGTAGTACGGATTAATCACATCAACAGAAAGTGAATTAATAAAGAATGAGGATTCCCAAGTAGCGAACCAGTGCTTCTTTAATCTTGTCTTTTTTTCTGAAAGGAATCCCTAACGTATGCGATAAACTCAGGGTCATGGAACCACTATTATTGCAATTGATTAGGGGAAAGTCTGATATTAGGCAGAGGGGAGTTTATGCATACGAATCACATAGGGAGGCTCGATCTTTTTTCATGAATCAATTTCGTTCTACATTCATTGAGTAATTTTACGCCGATGTGTTAATTGTGATGGAATCAATCCGAGAACATTTCCCCATGTAATCAATACGGGGCCACGAAGCTCTTCGTTTACTTAATCCTTTTTATACTTGCAAAATAGTCGAATTGAGTTGAAAGTAGTATAGTGTTTTCAAAGACCATTTACACAGAGAAATAGAGCAATCAGACCCCCGGGATATAATATGTACGGATGTGAAAGACCCATGAGAGACAATTACACACGCGCGTTACGTGGCTCGTTAAAATTCGTTTAACACAAACAGAATAACACATGGTGTTTTACGTGCAACATTAAAAATTTCAGTAATATTAATTATATTATGTGTTTTGGTTTTGGAATATGACGGCTTAGTTGTGTAGGGTAACCTATCTATAGTATTAACATGGACGTACCTTAATGAACACTTGTAAAGCAACGCGTCTAATAAGCACAGGTGCTGTGGAGATGTTTCTCAAGAGCCGACTGGGACGGAATCAGCGCAAATAATGTTATGTCTGCCTTTTATCTTACTTCATGAAGCTTCTTGGTTATCAATAACTTGACGAAGGAAGCGCTGTCCTATTTTGTGAAGATGCTCGCCTCTTGATCGATGGAGTCTACTTGCTAAGCTTCAGAATGGGGAGGTAAGGTGTGAGCTCTGGACACCTTCTTTTTATGCACGTTTCGGAGATACAATACTGAAAACGCTAATCTCTAACTTGTGACGTTTCCCGTTAGATCCGCCCACGCCTGCCAGACTTTCACAGCGTTGGCTATGATGTCAGATGTAGTCCAATTTGGGAAAGGATATATAACGACAGGGTAGATCAAACATAAATCTTTCATTGTTCGTGAGATCTTCAGAGAATACTATCAATCAGTTTGAGTTAAATGTAATTTATGCAGCTGGGTTTGCACCTGTCACTGAATCGCCCTGTATCTATTGGCTATTGTGCATGTGTGTGTCACTGGAGTGTTCTTTACCCATTGGCTGGTGCGTATGTACGTGACCAATATGCATTGGAAATTAAGTGTGTTCGTGCCACAAGAGTGTTTTAGGACCATTGGCTGCCAGTTCATCTTCGTCACTGTCCTATAATGCTTCTTTGAAACAGTTGTGAAAAAGCAGAACGATTTTTCGATGCATGGTACACGTGCAGGCTTACTTGAAAAAAATACATACTTAGAGTGGGTCGATTTCCAATAGTATGGCATACGGTAATTGTAGTCACATGGAATACCTCATCACTCTTACACACCTAACGGACTAGTTTGTATTACCTGTAACACATTCTATAAACGACAGTGTAAAATGCACATTTGCCTCCAGATGGTGTCTCGTATCTGCTCAATCGGTGCGAGGTGAGGTCTTTGAAAAGGTTAGACCAGCTTTGACACCTTACGACCATGTTGAGTATCACATTTGCAACGTAGATAGAGTATAGTACGGCTGGTCAAGTGAGAAATGATGAATTTAAGTAAACCACCGACAACATATTTCACTTGACCTTTATGATTTTAATTCATCATTCGGCAAAAAGATGGTATGTGTCAAATGCACATCTCTTTCCTTACTTCAACACTTATGTTTACACATATTAAAGTTGTAAAATGATTTACTATTCCAGTATGTATTAAATGATTATTTTTTTTGCGTTCGTAATCTAAATAGTGTTATAGCTTAATTATTCAAGATGCTATGCTGAGTAGTGTTTCGATGCTCCAATATTTGTAGTATTTTGATTATATGGGAGTACAATTAACAATAATATACTTATTAGTGAGTAAATTCCTAGATTATTGGTGTATTGAATGTGTATTGAATGTGCGTGATAAATACAATACAAATCCTACATGAACTAAGTGTTAAGAAAAACTTCCTGAAAGCTTGTCATTATTGTCAACAATTGGCATTTTACCTCACAACACAGTGTAAGTTTGGACCAAAGATGAAACAACATTACGGCTAATTGATCAATTTGGGTACAGATGGCGTTAACGATTTAAAACCTTTTTGGCAAGAGGGTGTTTTTGCTTATTTACACTGCTTTTTTGAATGACAAAAATAAGGCATGATCGAAATTGCGCCGAACGATATCATGCGTTATGTTTCAATTGTAAAACAGGGACACAATATGGAGAGATAACTCCTCGTGTAAGCCTGAAACGCTTTAGTTTTCGTTACATTTACTTCCCTCACGATGTTCATAGTGCAATGGGTTGTACTTTACTGACACGTGGTTGACAGAAGGTGAATTATATTTTTCCTGGTGTTTTAGCTTAATCTAGAATTTTTTTTTAATGTTTTTTTGATAGACATCTGACTACTTTTTTCAGATTAATTTAAGATTACTTTAACCATTTTATTCATTTCTGGTTTTAGCCTACTTCCCTCTCCAATATACATTTTAGAGCTTCCATATAAAATGTACAAGAGATTAATGGTTCACTTTTATATGTGGGTATGATAAATTAGTTGGGGAAAAGCATCAGTAAATCATTGGTAATCCAGCAGGCTGACGGGGGATCTTAACGTGCAATGACCACAGATATGCAACACACTGTTATTTGTGTGACATATTGATTAAACTGCACAGCCCGCTACCAGTCAGCTAACAGGCACTTCTATTCATTTTTTTTTACCTCTGTGTATAATTAAGCTTGAAAAAGTAGTACTTTTTATAATAGTCTGTGGATTGGAATCCAGATCCGGAAAACTGATTTAAACAGAAATTGGCTGTCAAATCATGTGAAGACGCAAAACTAAAAATAACGATTATGCGAATCAATACACTGATAATTGCACATTTGATATTTGATATTACACTGATGATATTTCCTTCCATACGGCATCATAATATTTAAGAAACGTGCATTGTGTCGCATGGTAAAATATTGAGTTCGTGTAAGTGAGTGATTTCACTGTAAGTAATCCAATTCTATTGCAAAAGAGTAACATCGTTAAATGGCCCTTCAATATAACCGTAATCTTTAATTGAGTAAAACGAACTACGTCATTGTTACGTCATAACAAACATAAATTGTGTTTTGTTTGGTTGTTATATGTCCCGTTGTTCGATTAAAAACGGCATCATGTCTTCCAAATGTTGTTACTTATGTTGTATATGACCCGTATTATTGGGGTTATATGTTTAAGTAACGAAGCATATGCGTGTTCTAACTCATTTAGTATTAAGCATCACTTCACATCACAACCAATCTACAAGCAATTGGGAATATATACCGTCGTCGACTAATCGCCATATAGTCTAGCGGTGAACTAAAGTGCTTGAGCAGGCACGGCTCGTGTTAACTCGGGTAAAATGTATGCCAGGCTTACTATTATTTCTTTGGGCTTGTGTTCGGTATACCACATTTTTAGAGAAACAAACAATATTATTCTATTTATTTTGGCTGTACACTGAAACAAAGTTGTTAAAAAGGTCTGTGGCATGGGTAACATGTTGACGTTACAGATTAACATAACCTTAATATAGTGCTGCTCAGTGTTTTCAGTGTGGTGTGTTGTATACATAGCTGCCTACATTCCATCACCTAAAGCGTCGACATGATATTCATTATCCTCGAAAATCACTGTGTGAAAAATTATTAATAAATATTATACGCAAACATTTTGCTAAACTACAAATATCTCATGAAAACGAATTCAAACCTTCCCTGACTGAATGTCTGTTTGTTTGAATATTCGGCACCAAGTATGTATATATAATTGTTCGGGATTAAGAAAGTTTAAAATGTTAAACCTCGCAGTTTTGGACATAAATATCCGCTTTATGATTCATATACGGACTTGTGCTAACAAAACCTATACGCATTACACACACGTTTATTTATGTGTCATTATTTTGTTCAGGTTATTGCAGAGACGACTGTGCTCAGGTTTGACGAACGACCTATAAAGGAACGTACAATAAATAGGACGGGGGAAGATGAGAAAAGAAATTTACTTCTCGACAGAAAGTGGTCTATGATGACTACCAAACCATGTAAACTTTCGATGAGCCGTCAAAAAGCGCATGAAAACGGATATCAATCTAAACTACAAAAAAAAACTCAAAATGAAATTAATGCCATTTTGTAATGTTTGCAAATTGAAATTGTTCATATTAAAGCAGGTGCAATTTGCATGAAATAATTTGTGTATATTTTGCATATTAATGATGTATTCATCCATATCCGTATGCATATTTGTAGACTCACAATTACATTGATATTGAAATCAGTAAACTTTACAGTACAGTTGCTAGTTATGGGTATAGATCAAGTCAAATACAATGAAACGACAAAGGACACCATGACTGTCGTGTGTACAATTGGAAAGCGAATTACATCAGTTGATGATAGCAGAGCACGATAATCCGATAAGAATAAATGTAGTCATTCGTCGCTTACTTTATTGAGTGCTCTGCAATCAGCCTTGTGTGATAAAAATGATAAAATCACATAACTTAGAAACCATAAATTGTAGGCAAGGCTTTTATTAGTAATTATGTTATCATAAACGTCAATGTATGCATCTAACTAGAAGTCAATACAGGGATGAAAACCTTTACCACAGTTGCCAAGTAATTATATCTGGCAATGAAGCAATCCAACATGATTCCTGTCTACATGAGTACCGGATTCTGGCACTTTCAAAACTCTAATCGATTGGACATTATAAAAAATTGTTTAAAAAAAACTTATTATAACTTATCCTCTCATATACGAACAACAAGTAAGAAACAAACAAATGTCACAATCTCCTTGACGGAATTAACTATCATTGTAATTGCAAATGTACGTAGAAGTATACTATAGCTTACAAGTGTGTTTGGCTCAATGCTGAATGAATCAATGTACATACGCTTCAAAGTCTGCAATATTTTTTTTTCAGCCTTCATGACGTTGGTAAATGCTTGTGTGTTTGTGTTCCAGTAGCAAGATGTCATAAACGAACCATATCTATATAATGCGTTAGAGTGTTCAATAAAGCTGATATCTTAACATAATTACTCCCGTGACTGAAATATAGAAATCATATAATATCTCCTGCTGTCCAATGCCTGAACACGTCCTTGCGATTTGGTCAGATTCTGTTTTAATTATGCGAGCTGTGATGAAATAAACGTTTCATAATTACATTTAATATGAAGTTGTTTGAATATGATGGATAAACTCCACAGCCATGTCGCTGGCTTATTCTGTATTGTATGGTATACATTTCTGTTCTGTATATATGTTAACTGATGTACCAAAGCCATATCTTCATTCGTTCCGAAACGTATCTGCACTAGCTTGAACTTTCGCATGTCCCCTTATTTTAATTAAATTACGTCAGCAAAATTGACGCGTTCAAGATTATTGATGTCACATTCGAAAACTGTTCTTTGTTTACATTGGATAGTGAATTATTTCTACGAGTAGAAAATATATAACTGGTTTGGCGTTTAACAACTGAACAATGGACTTTTTACCTGGAAGTTTATTATTCTGATGATTACAATTTTGATATGAGCAATACTGTAATATCGTTGGACCTACTTAAGCATGCTTACGCTACTGGCTGGGTTACCTGTCATTTCTAGCTAGTTTACTATGATTCATATTGGAGTGGATTCTATGTTGATGGAAGATGATTCCTCCGAAATGGTAAAAAGTCATACAGAGAGGCAGTA